CAAGTTTTCAAAACATCCAATCCAAAGTGAATGAATAAAAGTACTTTGATAGAAGTGCTTTTATAAAAGTGCTTTTACAAAAGCACTTCCGTAAAATACTTTTATAAAAGTGCTATTGTAAAAGTATTTTTATAAAATCACTTCCGTAAAAGTGCTTTTATAAAAGTGTTTGTAAAAGTGCTTTTATAAAAGTACTTTTATAAAAGTGCTTTCATAAAAGTACTTTCATAAACATACTTTTGTAAAAGTGCTTTCATAGAAGTACTTTTATAAAAAGACTTTCTAAAAGTACTTTTTGTAAGAGTGCGTTCGTAAAAGTACTTTTATTAAAGCACTTTCATAAAAGTACTTTCATAAGTGTTTTCGTAAAAGTACTTTTATAAAAGTACTTTCATAAAAGTGTTTTCGTAAAAGTTCTTTCATAAAAGTACTTTTATAAAAGTGCATTCGTAAAAATTGTTTTTGTAAAAGGGTTATAATTGGTATTCTAAAAATTCAATGGGGACAATTATGGGAGAAAAAAATGAATGAGTGCTTATTGTATGAGGAATTAAAGATGCTGGAAATTTGGGCTTAAAAAATAAGCCCTTATTTTTAAAATAAGCACTTATTTCAGGCTTATTTCCCAAACACTAATAAGTGCTTAATGGTGTGGTCCCTGCCCAAATAAGCACTTATTTCCAATAAGCACTTTTTTTTAAGCACTCCCAAACTTGGCCTATATGGTGCACTCAAACCTCTACATTGTGTTTAATGACCCCTATTTGACTAACATCTATTCTCCAAACTCATCATCTCATCATTTGGTTTCTCAACATAAATGTTTATATGGTACAATATAACAAATGTTTTTGTATCGAACTTTGAAATACACCTTATGCACTAAAAGAATGGCCTTAGTGCTATGAACAATTTGGAAAAACAGGAATAAATTTATTTTTGATAGTGAAGTGCCTAACCCGTATATATCTCTTCAGTCTCTCAACAGGGCTTGGAAGGAGAGGATGAAGACCTTGCCAAAAAAATGGCCAAGTACTTCGCAAGTGCCTAAAGAAGAAAGGTCAGTTTTTTTGTGGCAGCCCCCAGAACCAAATGTTTTGAAAATCAATGTGGATGGCAGCTTTTTAAGTGAGGGCAAGACAGGTTTTGGAGTGATTGCCGGAAACCATTTTGGATGCTGTGAAGCCATTAATTTTGGCCCTTCGTTAGCTGCTTCATCTCTCCAAGAAGAAGCTTATGCTTGTCTCCAAGGTGTTAAGTTAGCAAAGGCCATCAACAGGGGCCCTTTTGTGGTTGAAAGTGACAACAAAACTCTAGTGCAAGCTTTGGTTTCTAAGAATCTTGCTGGAGCTTTTGATGTTTTTTTTTTTTTTTTTTTTATTTTTTTATCTGTAAAGATATTTTGGACGAATGTAAAGACTTGGATTTTTCTTTTGTTTTCACTAGGCGGGAGAGCAATTTGCTAGCCCACAATCTTGCAAAAAAAGGGCTATCGGAAGCAGGGGCCTTTACTAAAGCGATTCCCCTGTTGCTAGCAAGTTGGGTGGACTCTCCACCTTATCTGTAATCTCTTTTGTTTTAATAGTATTGTCTCCTTACCAAAAAAAAAAAAGCACTAAAAGAAGACCTTTAGGCTAAAAACCTCTAAAGCATGCATGATAACATCATATTGCATAAGATATCTTGTATTTGTCTTGATTATGAGAAACAAAGAGACCTAGCTTCCCCATATCCACTACATGGATATAGAGCAAACCAAAGTAGAGTACATGAAGCATATTGTCATTAATCCATTTACCTGAAAATGGATAAAGAATGTTACCTTCTTTAGTTCAACCTTTGGAGGAGGTACTTTGTAGAAACTTGGCATTGGTGTAGCTTTAAATGGCAAACTCTTAATTCTTTGATTTCTGCATCCTGGTCTCCTGCAAGCCAAAATAGAAAATGGAGTTGTCTCAAGTAAATGACATCTAAATCAAGTTAACCCAAAAAAAAGGAAGGAAAAATAAGTAAAGAAAAATATTTGAATTAAAAAAATAAGATAAGATATTTTTCAATACCTTTGTTTTTCGCCTTCAAATTAGTTCTTTCCAATTCCTTTTCATGAATATTTTCTTCTAATTTTTGAAAAGACTGAGTTGAACCAGAATCAATTTATTTTTTCCATCTAAATCAATCCAATTGGTCAATGGTACATGTAAGTATGATGTTATTGAGTTATGCAATACCTTTACATGGATTGTTATTATCTTAGCTCTTATAGTTATTACATTAAAAAATAAAGATCTTGGTTAAAGTGATCACCCATTGATTGGGTCATTTCCTTTTGTAAGATGTAATCCACGAGTTAAGAAAAATTGATTTCAACTAACAAAGAGAAAAAAAGCAGCTAAAAAGGTACTAAGTAGATTCAATTTATCTCACCTCATTTCACTTTTCTACATGCTCAATCAGCCTGGAGGCAAATCCTGAACCCATGTTTTTTCGTAGCTCACAAGTAGTGCTTTTGATTCAACAATAATAACGATAATGATGGAATTTCATTAATCTATGATTGAAGAGAGAGAACCATGAAAAGGAAGATGTTAAATATGAGGATTTGAAGATCCAAAAAGAGTAAATATGAGGTAGAGGATCATGCTTTAACAAGCAATGTTTTGTTTTATCTGCTTTAAATACTGATAATGTGATATGTGATAATTTATGAAGTGATTCAGTAGATATGAAACTCCTTAACGTGAAGTTAAATCATGGTGGTTGTTAGACAGAGAGGGATGCTAGGCCTTATTGGAGCTCTTTGGATTCTATAGAAGTAAATCAGATTACAGAAGGATGCATCAGTAACTCTAGATTGCAAGGACGACAACTTATTGGGGCTCTTTGGACTCTATATATGTCACTTCCAGTTGCATCTATAGAAACAGACTCACTAACCTGATTTGAAATAAAACACAAAATAAGATGATGCAAATATGAGGAATGTCACGAAGAAGAGATTTTGGGAAGAAACCCTTATAATAGAAGGTAGGATGCTAGGCCTAGATGTTATAGAAGGTCGAGAAAACATTGTGGGACCTTTCCGATTGGCTTGATCCTTGGCTGTTTTGTTGTTCTTCAAGCTATTATCACGACCAGCTCCTAGTTTCTAATCACAGAAGAGTAATTTCTTGTTCAAGCTCAAAAAACTATCCAAACAGAAACGATTTAAAGGAATGAATATTGCATGATATGTTGTACCTTTGCAGAATTGGACCTTTACTTCCTGAAACAATATTGGTTACTTTCACTTCCGCTACAAGCCTACAGCAGAGGTGATCGATAATTCAACCCAAGAAAGCACTCAACATTGACATGCTCACCCCAGCTCTGATTAATTCCCAGAGACCAAACCAGCAGGTATGATCACATATCTAACAGTTGTCTTTTTGAATATGAACGTGGGAGGTGTTAATTATAGGAGATAAAACTGTAAAGTTGGAGGGGAGCAGTTTGTGGGAGCAAAAACAGTTGGTTTTTTGGTTCAGTTATTGTGGGAGTAAATTATATATATGCCCTCTCTATATGCATAGACATGTAGGGATAAAACTTGTCCAATGAAAATTCTAGAAAGGGAGGCTATTCACACTTTTAGAAGTAGTATAGATCTTTTGTTTCTTTCTCAAATAAGAGTTGATTATATTTAATGTGTTTTTCTTTAGATTTGGGTGGCTTAAAGAGATAAAAGGGAATGTAAGTTGTATTTTGGGTTTGGGGCAAGACGGGATATGTCCTCCTCTATTTTCTTCTATTTATCTTTTGATAAATGGCTAACAAAATTTCAAGGTGGTTGTCACAATTGATGCTGCTAAATTTAGGGCCGAGGGCAGCCAAGTGATTTTCGAGGTCCGAAGGCTGATGGTCACACTTGCTAAGAGTGAAGAGATGTTAGAGGCCTTGGGAGTGTTTTCAGGGGTGAGGACTTTGACAATCAAGTTAGCTAAGGGCTCAAAAAAAATAGAGATCACCACAAGAGTGCAAGTGATAGGTAAAGTATGCGTGTCTATCTTTGGTTGTGGTGTCTCTTTTATAATAAGAGTTTCCTCGAGGGGGAGTAATGCATAATATGCAACCATTCCATATATCATAGTCATGTAGGGGGATTTGGAGAAGCATTGGTTGATCATGACCTCATGTCATTGGCCTAGGAGTAAATGTACCTAGAACGTGCACCCACATTAAGTGCTCTTCAAATCGCTAAGGGTGGAAATTACCCGAATGCCCTAGGAAAGCAGTTGCTAGTTGATAATACCCCTAACCGATGCTACATATTAGGATCCGGTGAACCAACCAAATATACACATATCAACAACCCTTCGCCTGGAGTACGATTTCGGGTTAAAAAACATGACACATGTTTCATACATCTGTTATATAAAATAGAGCTTCACTATGATACCAGAAAAATTGGAATTGGTCAACTGGTATCATAAAAGTGATAACGGATCAGGTGATGTTTATCAAAATTCATGGGAAGATTTTGATTGATCAAAGCCCTTCCGCTATTATGTCTTTCCGGAAGCATAGACTTTCCCTACAAAATATTTTGTATATTTAGAAGTTATAAGACCAGAAGCCTCATAATCAATGGATATGCAGAATGGTGATTGGTGAGATAGAACTCTTCTATCCAACCTCATGTACTTGGGAAGTTGGGATAACGGTTAGGTTAATGATGAGACCCGGCCCAACCTAGCTCCGGTTTATGTTTAAGCCCATCTGGGCTAGAGCCCTTGCCAAACCCGGCACAGGCCCATGATTACCCCTGCCCTTACTCATGGTCCATCCACATTGGCATCGGCCCATGGCAGAGTTTGACTGTTTGAGGGTTGATCTTGAGGCTTTGAGCTTTGAATTAATTTACTAAAATACCCTCAAAGTTGTTTTCCTGAGATCCATTTGTAGGGACCCAAACAAACTGCCCTCTCAAGTCTCATCACACGAAGCTGAAACAATTAATAAAAGCATTCAAGATTGCCCTCTATTCTTTTGCTTTTTGTCTGTCTCAAATCTCATCATCACTACCACACACTGAAACAAGAGAGCGAGACTCGAAAACACTGAAAACAAACTACCGATTTCGATCGGAGACGAATATCTCTGACAAGTGACTCCGTTTCCCATTAAGATTTACATAGTTATTTTGTTTTCTGTAATTGGGGAGGTCGGTTTGTTCTGAAAATGGCGATGAAAGCACCCGTTACTGGATTGAGCTTGGCATCGTCACCATCTTGTTCATTACATGCCTCTTCTAACAGGCTTGTAGTCCTCGGGAGGAGACCCCTCAAAACATCTTTTTTTAATGGTGGAGGTATGCTCCTTTTGTGAGGTTTTCACAGTTTCTATTTATGGTCTTCATTGAATGAAATCGGATAACTATATGTGCTATTCATGGAGTTCAGTATAACTTAAAGCGTATCTGTTCATGTTGTTATTCTTCATATTTGATTGAAGATTTACAAATTGGAATTGCTGTTTCTTTTTCTTCTTGTTCAAAATGTTGAAACGCAATTGAATTAACAATTTGCAGCAGAACTGAGATATTTGAATTATGTTTTCTAGTGTTCTCAGATTATTGCAATTGACTAAAAGAACGCCACTACCTAATGCTGATTATTGCAATTAACTATACATCTTATACATAAATTCATGAGCTCTTGAGATTGCCCCAACAGCTGCTTGTTTATGTTATTATTAACTATGTTAATGTACTAAATTCACTTCTGATACAAGTTTGTAGTTTTTTTTTTTTTTTTATCAGAAACACAAAATTTATTTATTGATCAGATTAAAAAAGCATATATAACAAGAAGTTGTGTGCAGAAAAAGAAGCCCAAAAGGAAAAAAAAAACCCACTAATTACAAACCAGCCCAGAACATAGATTGTCTTTGAATCCCTTGTTTAGCTAGTCCCTCAGCCATACTGTTAGCTGATCTCCTAAACCATCTAATTTGAATCAACATGTCTTTAGATATCTCCTTGAAGTGCCTGAGCTCATTTCTTTGCTTCTATATTACTCCTTCCCCCTTCTTCTGCCAGTTTACAACAATCTTTGAGTCCCCTTCAATTATCAGCCTGTTAATCCCCATTTCTTTGGCTTTTTCAACACCATACACTGCTTCCATCAGTTCTGATCTGACCACATTAACATTCTGAATAGGACCTGAGTACATGGATAAAATATTTCCATCTCTTCCCTTATCACCCCAACAATACCTGATGGGCCAGGATTTCCCAAACAGCTACCATCAAAGTTTAATTTCTTCCATCCAGCCGCCGGAAGGGACCGGACCTCATTTGTTTTAGATTTTCTAGAAGCAGTGTTAGCATTTGTTCCTCAAGATCTGAAGGAATCTTCTGTCTTGAAATCAGCAAACAACTTTAGTGTTTTCACCCAATGTGCCACCCTTAGAGTTATCACTTTAGTCACAGTTTCTTTGCTTCTTTCCTTGTCATAAAAAATCCTTACATTTCTTTCTTCCCAAATTGTCCAAACCACTGCTGCTCTAGTGCACCTTCCCATAATTCTGCCTCTTCTTTTAGAGCAATACAAGTTTGTAGTTAAATGAATTATGAGTAATCTTGACTTGATTAGGGACATTCTTTCTGGGAATTACTAGGGTCAGGTTCTCTGCTTTCTCATTCTCCAATCCTTCCTCCCCCTCCAGAAGACTCACACACGCACACTCATAACAAAGATGTAAAGATATTTTACTCCTTTATCTCATTCCATTTTGTAATAAATAATTTAATTAATTAACTGAACTTATTTTTGGCTCTAGAGAAACATACTTCTTGATTGTGGTAGTTTACGAATTAGCAGGTTACAATGAATTTTATGTACAGTACCTAGAGGGCCATCACCCAATGTTGGTCCTGTCGTAACTTCCCAATGAAAAAACCAATTTTAGGTTCACTACCTTTCTTCTCATAAGCATTTTTTTTTTTCTGATAAAAATTCAACAAAAATTTCAATTAAAAATAAAAGAAGTACAATATCTATTAGGGTGATGAGCTAGAATCCTAGTTGCATATGAAATACATCAATTTGAATCTAACTCTCTCATACTTCAAATTCAAGATACAACATCATAAGACAATTCAATAGTATCCCTTGAGCCAAAAGAGGATCTATCTACCCCTGAAAATTCTGGAAGAACCAAAACCCAGTCCAAAATCATATTTCTAATATCAGCACATAATCTCTCAATGTTCCTTTTTGTTGATTAATCTCTCAATGTTCTTTTTTATCCTCAAACAATCATCCATTCCTCTGTCTCCAAATATCTCAACACATTGCAATTGGTATACAGCTCCTGCTTTTTTTCTTTGTCTTCTTAATTCCTTGAATATTTGACCACGAAAAGAAAATTTCATCTAGGTTATTATTGAGATAAGCTTGTACTCTAAACAAGGAAGAAAAGAATTTCCATTGAAAGTCACCTCTTTGAAAGTGAACAGATGTCACATGTCTTCACATTTGTTACACATAATACTTGTAATCTCAAAACCTCTCTTCTTCAAGTGATCAATTGTAAGGATGCTGTCCACAGGCACTAACCAAACAAAGGCTTCTATCCCCGAGGAATCAGTTGCCCCAACTCCCCATGATATTTGGGATCTCCACTTGCTTTCTAATAATTGCATTATAATGACGTCACTGCAACACCAAATTTGCATTATTTCCACTATATTGCAGCACTTTCCAAAGGAATGGTTTTTTTTTTTCCTATTTAATTTTGCTAAGGGATGAATTCCTCTAGCTTCTAATCTAAAACTTGTTTTCTTAATGTTGGACAAAAAACCTCCTGATTGCCTCTTAATTTTAATGTTGACTGATAGTGGTGTTTCATGAATTCAGCCTTTATATTCTTGGACATAGATTAAGATCACACAACCTCCCTACTCCATACTAATCATCTTCCTACACTCTCACTGATCCCTCACCTATTTAAATTAAGTAATCCTCATAAGAGATTGTTCGAAATACAATTCTTTCCAAATGCTCACTCAACAACATTTACACTTCCCTTGAATCCTACACAAACCTAGCCACCCCATACTTACATTCCACTTCCCTTCTCCATATAGTTTCCATTATCAACCTAAATCTCCAAAAGCCATTTACTAAAGTAGAAAAGTTTAGAAGATCCTTTTTGATATAAAACCTGTGTAAGAAAGAGAAGAGAAAGTTTATGCAGAGAAGAAAAGAGGAGAGAAATTGAAGAGAATGGGAGAAGCCAAAAATTAGGTCAGGCCACCCCTTTCATTAGCTTATATACTCACAAATAAAAACTGAATACAAAGACAAGTATGCCCTTAGTAAGTCGACTACTTATAAAAACTAAATAAACACTCTTAACTTAAACATAAACTAATGGGCCTTGGGCCCAATAACTCCCTAACTATGCTATGTAAATAAAAACAAGTGATATCAGCCCAAAACTCAACACTCCCTCTCAAGTTGGGAATAGATGTCACACATTCCAAACTTGCGTAGATCATGCTCCAGTTTGTTTCTTGCAACACCTTTTGTAAGAACATCATCAAGCTGCAAGTTAGATGCAATATATGGTAAGCACACTTCTCCGGATGTCACCCTTCCCCGGATGGCAACACCTTTTGTAAGAACATTGACAAGTTGCAAGTTAGATGCAATATATGGTAAGAACATCAACAGACCTAGGGGAGCTTTGAAACACCATGTGCCATGGCTCTATATTCAGCTTCTGCACTTGACCTTGCCATAACTGTTTGTTTCTTACTCTTCTATGAAACTAGATTACCTCCAACAAGAGTGCAAACTCCTGATGTAGATCTCCTGTTATCTAGGCGCCCTGCCCAATCAGCATTTGTGTAAGCCTCTAACTTCAATTGTCCATGGTCAACAAGCAATATGCCTCTACTTGGGTGTCCCTTCAAATAGGAAAATATCCTGTCAATGGCCTCCTAGTGCTGAATTCATGGGGCATGCATGTATTGGCTCACCATACTCACTGCATAAGTGATGTCTGGTCGTGTCATACATAAGTATAGCAACCGGCCCGCTAATCTTTGATACTTTCCAACATCCTTCACTAGCTCACCTTCAGAAGCATTTATCTCGTGGTTTTGATCAATAAGTGTATCAACTGCCCTTGCCCCAAGTTTTTCTGTCTCCTGTAGTAGATCCAAAACTTAACTTCCTCTGTGAGATGAATATCCCATGCTTGGACCTTTCCACCTCAATGCCTAGAAAGTACTTTAGCTCTCTACAATGTCATCCATAGGGGTGACTATAATGTCATCCATTGGGGTGGCCACGAGTCGAGCTTCTCACGAGCCAGTCGAGCTCGGCTCATGAAAAGCTCAGCTCGACTCAGTTTAAACCGAGCTTTGAGCCGAGCTCGAGCCTGATATATAGGTTTGTTTACTAATCGAGCCGAGCTCGAGCCTAATGAAGCTCGGCTCATGAGGCTTGCGAGCCTAGTATAATAAATAAATATTTTTTTATTATATACATACATACATACATATACATATAAATATATATGATAAATAATTTTTATTTTATATAATAATATTTTATATATAATATTTTTATTTTTATGTATTATAGTAAATAATTTTTATAATTCTTATTTTTTGTATGTAAAGTAAAAACATTTTTATATGTATATTTTTTGTTTTTTATATGTATAATACTAAATAATTTTTATAATTCTTAATTTTTTGTATGTAAAATAAAAAATATTTTTTATTTTTTTTTAAAATTGGATTGCAATCGAGATCGAACTTGCGAGCTTTGAACCGAATCGAGCTAGAGCTCAAGTTTCTAGCTCGAGCCTAACACAGTTTGAGCAAGCAGAGCTCGAATAGCCAAGTATTCGACTCGGCTTGGCTTGGCTCGAATCCACCCCTAGTCATCCATATACACTATCAAAACTAGCACTAGTGACCCCTCCTTTTCACAAAAAGAGTATGATTTGATTGAGTTTGAGTGTAGCCAAATACAACCAATGCACTTCTAAACCTGTCAAACCAAGCTTTGGGTGATTGCTTCAAACCATATAGAGACTTTTCCAATCTACATAACTTTCCTTTATCCACATCATTGTAAAAAGTAGTTGGAAGATCCATGTACATCTCCTCTTGCAAGTCCCATTAAGAAAAGCATTCTTCACATCAAGTTGGAAGAGTGGCCAAGAGTATGTAGTTGCTAATGATAGAAGAATCCGGACTGATCTCATCTTTGCCATTGGTGCAAAAGTCTCCAAGTAATCCATGCCATAAGTCTGAGTGTACCCTTTTGCAACCAACCTCGCCTTGTA